GTTTCCGTCTCAGGAGCTAATTGGCCTAACGCGAGTTGCCTCGCGAGAGCACGAAATTCAGCTTCGTCTTCGGCCATGGGTCTCAAGCCTCCAGGTCGACATCTATAGAGGTACCCATTATAGCTAGTCCAAACAAGACGTGGTGTGGGACTATTGGAAGAACTCTCCACTCCAATGACTTTGGCAGGCCCCAACCACTTACCATGCCTGGTGCTGAGCTGACCCCTTCCTGCGGCACGGAACATATAGACAAGTTGACCCTGAGTATACGGACCTCGCATGGGGCGATGTCGATAGGCTACAGCTCTTCTCCAAGTATCTTTTGCATGTTCTTCATGAAAGGCTTTCGCGGCTTCTTCTCGAAGGCGAGTCTTGGATGCAAAGGACGGATCTGACAGGATCTGGCTCTGGGTAGCAAAATTTCTTTGCTCATCCAGATCAGCAAGCATTCCCACATGGCGTGAGTCCCTTCCCAAGAACCACTGTGCTGGACTGAAACCATGTTTTCGAAGTTGTTCGTTACGAGTAGTCGCACACATTTCAATGACTTCCTCCGGTGGACGGTCAGTGCCAGGCCAACAACGATTGGCCATGTTCCGTAGAATACGATTGGCAACTTCGACCTGACCTAGTTGATAGTGTGCTTCTGCTGCCGCATGCAACAACTGAATGCCATGATGTGTCAAGTACTCTTGGAAATCTTGGGATAGGTTAGTCTTGGCAGGGTCCATGAATATTATCTTAGGAGTGCCATAGGGACGTGACCACACCCTGTGAAATGCTCGAGACAGCTGATTGGGACCGCGTTCAACGATGATTTGTTGAGCGAACCCTGAGGCCATATCAACACATGTCAAAACATTGAACTTTATTTCGGTCATCTTCCCATTACGTCCCTCCCTTTTGAGTTCTACTTGAACAAAATCAATACCCACTATGTCATTCGGGTTCTCTGCATGGGGAATTGCATTTTTTACGATATGACGGAGGTGGTTTGAGTTCGTTACAGATGGGACACTGGAAGCTCCGAATGCAGTCCACTATATCCTTATTGGCTTGGCAACGATTTGCAAGTCTCAACATTTGTTCAACAGATGCATGGCCTGTGTTTACATGCAATTTGCGAACCAATGCGGACACTCGCAGCTGTCTTCGATTCAAACTCTGCCTTGGTGATTGACGATCACCTTCAGCGAATGGTCTTTCAAGTCTCTCTTCCGGTTCTTCTTCTAATTGTTCTTCTTCTTGGTCTTCTTCCTGAGCTAGGATTTCAACTGCGTCAGGACCGGATTGACTCTGGAGACATTTGGCAAGACCATCGGCCATGACACGTGCAAATTTATTAGGATACGTCTCGGCCCAGGCTGTCAAGTTCCTACCTTTATAGTTTCCTTCGAGATGATCATGTCCATGTTTATGGTCACATCGGTATGGAACTAAGTGTTGCATCAAAGACTCCTGGGTGCTCACTATCCGAGTGGGCTTGAGGACCGGGACATTGGATTTTGGACTTCGGAGTCCAAGTGCGCACTGGTCAATTCGGATCGACCATGCTGGTCCAAGAACTAACTCCTGCCACATATCGGACGAATATGGATTTTCGGCGTGAGCTTGGCCTCCAAGCATGACTTGAAGATGCCATGTTTCCGAAACACATTGCAAGTGTCGTTTGGCTTGATGTCTCTTTTTCATGATTTCCTGTTTTCGAGATTCCGAGAGGGCCATATTAAACCTCGACCACGGACCCCAACATTTACAAGGGGGAGCAAACCAAACATGAGCGGGTTTCGTCAAGGCAACGAGGAACAGGAGATTTCGTCTATCCTTCAATCTTCCAAGGTCGTGACCAAAATCTATCCCGATCTGGATTGCTGTTTGATTTGTTCGTTTCTGGAACTGTGAAGACAAGCGGGCCTTACCTGTAAACACTTCAACAAGTCCTACGGTGGAATCTAACTTCCACGCCTGCTTGCCCAACCAGTGGCGAAGTTCGGCAATCACTGCATGACTATCGGTCTGCAATCGTGACAGGGCCATTCGAACGCCGAGCCTGCGAGCTGAAGTGATGGTACCTTTCAGTCTTTCCTGGAGTTCTTTGGGGACATCCTGCAATTCAAGATCTACCCAATCTACTTCTTCATATAGGGTTTCCAGGGTGTCTGATTGTTCAGGGTACTTCCAATCACCATCTATATCATCACTACAACAACAATCACACTGGCGTGTTGGTGCTGCTGGCTCAAGGAGTTCGACGTGCTCTGACTCACTCTGGGAACTCTCAGGATCAGAATTCGCTCGGATGGAACGAAAAGCAAAGATCGCTACCTGCATCGGATTCACAGGCCGACGGGCCTTTCCGGCTGCACGAACTGCCCACCCGGACGTGGTCATATTTCCACTTTTATCCATTGAGATTACATTCATCTCGAGTGAGGTGTGTTCGGCAATAGTAGGGATCCTTTCTAATCTAGGTTTGTATGCTACAAAGGCATGCACCACCTGTTTTTCATCACATAAGAACAACTGGGACAACTCGGCATGAAACAAAGTGCAATCTACGTTTCCTCCTTTGGTATGTTTGCAAACTGTTTGGAACGCCCTCCTAAAATCACACGGTGTGGGTTTCATTTTTGGCACACTAGAAACATTACTTTTGGTCATGTCCTGTCCTCTGAGGTCTTGTTGGTGCTCGAGATCTGCGGAAATGGACTCGCGGTCCATCGCTTGGGCTTCATGCGGATTGGGCTCATATTCATTCGAGTCGTTGAGGACGGTCTCCCATTCGGCGACCTGTGGCACCAGGGACAGCCGCAAATGGCCGTTGGCGGCCTGCTTGAGAGGCACATCTTGCATGCCATGCTTGGAACTCGTGATGGTCATACGACCCAAATCCAAGGTGGCTTGCATGCCTTCCAACACTCTTCGCGACAGCAGGAATGGAGCACTGCCAGGAACAACGTATGTTGTGATGTTCCCTCTCAATGATCCCAACTGCACTGTCCACTTCAACCCAACAGCTGTAGTTTCACTTTGACCATTAAAGCCACGAAGCTCAACTGTAGGCATTGTAACACGAACGGGTGGTGGAAAATTGCACTGTCGAAATACCTGCTCATAACGTTGTGCTGTTTCTTCACCAACAACTGATGTAGTACAACCAGTGTCAATGATTGCAAAACCCGACGGGATCGAAGCCAAAAGGATTTCAAGCTCGACTGGAGTTGCATCGGTCAGGGCATAGCTGAACTCGGTCAATGTCCTGTCAACCAACTCGACTGTTTCCGTCAGATTGGCGTCCTCACGCCTCGGTGGTTTCTTCTTTTGATCCTTTTGTGGTTTTTTGTCAAAGGATCTTTTCTCATAGCGTGGTGTCTTTGACGAAGAGGATTGGCTTCCCGTTGGCATTTGGGAAGGTCCTCCTTCGGTGGGTGGAATGGCCACCACCGGCATGTATGGTTGGCGTGCACGTTTGATCTCTCTCACTTTCTTTTTGGATTCCTTGTAGGTGCGGAACTGCTTCTTGAACTCTTTCTTTGCTTTCTTTTGGATTTCGAAGATCTCCTGCAGCTCTTCCTCCGAACCTGTACCAAGAGAACCTTCAGCACCTTCAACTTGGTAGGCTTCTTCGCCTGACCCAGAATCAGAAAGTGGATCGACCGAGGTGGAAGATTCTTCAACAGCCTGTTCAACAGCGAATGTTTCTCGACGAGGCCTGACTTGTCGACGATCATCATGGCGTGACCGCCGATCGTCCATCTTCTCCTCATAGTCACTGGCACGCAAAATCTTCTCAATGTCAACGAATCGACTGGAGCCGCCTGTGGAACGAATGATGTGACTACGTTGCTCACGCGACAACCCAAACTTCCTCATAAACAAATGTCCCAAAACTGACTGTGGAAATATCGGCTTGGGCTTTGTGTGTGACAACTCCAACGTTCCAAGAAGACGTTGCATTCGAAGATGATCCTTTCGCTGATCTCCTTTCAGTGTCCCAGTGGACTTCTGTTGGGAAGCCTTTGAACTCGACTTTGCACTTCGAACCGATGGTGTGGATCCCGAACGGCGATGTGGATCGAGTGGAGGATCAAAAGGACCTGGTGGAGGAGCAGCTTTGGCCTTCGGGTCAGGCCGAGGCTCATCTCCAGCTTCTTGTTCGGTTTCGTCTGTCTGTTCATGAGGGTCGTCCGGACGGTCAGCATGTTGTTCATCCGATTCTTCCAGACTGCTTGACTCTTCTTTGTTCTCTTCAGCTTGACGATCGGTCTTCGGCCGCTTTCGGGACAACTGTCGTTCTTGTGAAATCAGTGTCTCCAGCCGGTTGAGGGATGTCTTGAAACGTGAGGTGAATGCGGTTGCTCCCTCACCGTTTCTTCGCTTCAGAGAAAACAAAAACTCATCAATCGCCTCGTGGAGCTCAGTCTCTGGCAAAAACCTATAGTGATTGTCCAATGTCTTGACAACTTGTAACCAACCATCAGTGCTTCTGATGTCAGCCACCGACAAATGTTCTGTCGCTTGCCAAGCTTCACCTGAAAGTTTGCTCAAGACACGTGGACCTGCAAGGTGTTGTTGTTTGTCTTCTAAAGACGCCACACCAAGAATCAGCTTTCGCCGGAACTCTCTGTAACCACTCGGCTTTCCGTCAAAGGAGAGGTCTCGCAACGAATCTTTGTAATCCATTGCCATGAATGCTAAACAACAATCAATGTTCAACCAACAACAACACAAATCAATGTAAACTCTGCACCACTGCTCAATGCTCAATGTACCTGGATGGTACGAGTGACTCTGTGGCTTTCGCCACACCCGGGAAAGGCCGGGACCTCACAAGGCACTGCTGGAGCGAACACGCTCCGCTACCATGTAAAATGGTAAGCGGAGATGGGAACACAATGTCAACCAATGTGTGGGTATCCTCAAGCAAATGGGGATCACGAATCGACAACACAGCGATCAACGGCGCTTTTCCATGTGGCGCAGCCTAGCGTTCGGTACGAACAAGCTCAAGGGCCCTTGGGCCGGAAAGGATCAAAGGGCCGCCATCAACCTTATGCAAACATGACATGTCCGACATGGATGCACACTTTCACAATATATGAACACATACAATTTATAAAACATGTTTATTGAAAAAACATACAGTTTTTTTCTTATAATTTGTTATACAACCACTGGGATCGAGAAGAGGATCCCCGTCGCTTTCACAGGATCCCCGTCCTGGATTGATTCGATTGACGAATCCCAGGAGCCACCGGCCTTGGAGCCGCCCTTGGTGCGGGATGAGGTGGTGATCCTCGTGGGGCCCGACAAGGGGCAAACGGGGCGGGTGCTCTGGGTGGCGCGGGTGGATGGGAAACCCAAGTGGCTTGGAGGATGGATTCAGGTGGAGTGGGAGGCATGGGGGGGGGCAGAAGGATGATGGAAGTTGGGATTTGGTTGCGATTTCAGGGTTTTGGACATATGGAAGCCTACGACATGTACATTGTGCTGCATTGCGCTGCAATGCGAGTGAGTATAGGCAATCGAAGTTTCCGACCCTGAACGATGTTTGACCCTTTTGGGCAGATGGAGTATCTTAATTATCACCCGTCTTCATTATAATGACACGTCGCATGACTCATGACCTCAATCTTTGGAAGACATGCGCAGAAACCCAGGTTTGCCATCGTGAGCTTGAACTACAACAAGGAATTGCAAGATTCCGAGGTGCCTGGGCCTGGGCCTGCGCCCAATTATAGTTGGGTGTTAGCTCAAAGATACTGATGATTCCAATTTCCCCGTACCTCAGAAATGCTGTAACCCAAATTTAACTACCACCACGGTGCTTTCCCAGGTGCATTTCATCATACTTCATCCATGGAGCCCATGACCCTTTTGGGTCTTTTTGGACTCAAACCCATGACACCTCTTCTCCGTCGCTGATTTGGGAAGCAGCACGCGGGCACTTGCCTTCACATTTTTCAAAGCACCGGGACGGATGTGAACGACTGGGAAAAATTGCCGTCAGCTACACCCTGGAAGACTCACATGGAACATCCTGGAACCTGTGGTTGTGTTCGGAAAAAGGTCTTCCGACGTCAGGTCCATTTGTTCAGGACTTTTTTCAGGTATTCATGTCAGGTCTCTTCCATGTATGTATTTCCGCGAAGTCGGAGGGGGAGCAGGTGAAGACCTTCAACTATGCCTGGCTCGCGCGCACCAGCAGCTCCTCAGATCAGCTCTCGAAGGATGCGCTCTGCGGCTTCGTGGCGGCCTGCGTGGCCTGCAGCGTGGTCTATCCCATCGACTCCTCCAAGGCCGCGGTGGGCGCGGTGTCGGAGTCGGAGGTCCGCCTGGGTTGGGCCCCGGAGGTCCTGAGGTTCGGAACGCTCGATACCTATCTGTAACTATGGAAATGGAGGGAGAGATAGGGAGAGTATGGTTATATAATGTATTTGTTCAGCCTGGGAAGGGGTGACGACCAGACAGGGATGCACCACTTCCATGTGAGTAAGTCGGAGTGTATGTTTCATCCTGAGATGTGCTGGAAGTCATGGGCCTTTTGTGAGACCTGCGCACAAGGGGATTTCTGAAGATCTGAATGAGTCCTTCCAGGGAATCGTCGTCATGGTGACCCGCAGAATAGCACAATTCCATGCCAGTCCAGTTTTTACAATGCAGTGGGGATGAACAGTGCATTTCACACCCATCCTGCTAAACGGGTGCGCAACTTTGGATGGACCTTCTCACCTCGAAGCCACCCACTTGGCACCGGCGTTGCCTGACCCGGCGCAGGTGAGGCTTCAAACGGGGCGCTCCGCCTTTCCGAAGGCCGAGGAGGGCGGCTTTCTCGCGCTCTACGACGCTCGGGTTGTTGGCTGAAACGAAGCGAACTCGGTGGTTCGTCGGGGGCAGCGCCCAGGCCGTTGCATTGAAGGGTAATTCCTGAACAGCCATTGCTTTGATGTTGTGTTACTTTGAAGGATTTGAGACTACAAGAACAGGGTCAAGCATGTTTAAAATGGTCTTGGAAGGCTAGACACTGGGAAAAGCAATTTGTTGATAAACATGCATGAAGGATCATGAAGGCTTAAAAGACTTGCCATGTGGACGTAATCCTTCCGGAAGAAATGGGGCTGGTTCTTGTGATCTGGGTGATGGACTCAAAAAGAAAAGGTCCTGTCATGCACCTGTCATGCAGACCTTAACAAAACACACAAATAGTTATAAACATGTTAAGTCATGTCATCCACCTAAGTTGGATTACACCTACAGACTACAGACCTTTTGGAATCCACCTCGTCCTCGGTCTGAGTCATCCACCTCGTCCTCGGCATCCGACGTGGTCCTCGTCCTCGGCTCCATGGACCGAGGACGGTTTGCTACTGAATCTGGGCCGCGAGGCTCCCAACGCCGCAGCTTGGAGGGGACGACATAGACCGTCCAATGTAGACTGATGGATGAAACCGAAGCTCCTCATTGTATGATATATATATATATAGATATGAAGGTTTTACAATCAAACACGCAGGGCTTTTTGTCAATCTAGCGTCTACATTGGGCCATGGTTTAAGAGTGTTTTGATGGGCAAACCCATTTGAAATAGGCAGAAAAAAGGGGGGAGTCGCATTCGGTCCGAAAGAAGCATGCAACCTGCAAGGGCATGGGTGCGTCGCAAAGTTGAGCAATCCTCACCAATCGTGGAACATGGTCAAAGGAAGACACTGGAAATCTCTTTCAACAGAGACTGATCTGACACATGTGAAAACTCTTCTTCTTGAGTCAGGAAATCTTATCATGAAGCGTGCTCTGTCAGACCCAAATAACTCGGCATCTCAAGCGCGTTGAGCCAATGTGCCACCCTTTCAACCCCCCCCAATTTGGTCCGGGCTTTCGCATGCTTTCGCATGCTACACCATCCTATAGCCTATCTCAAACCCCGGTGCCGAGGCGATGTTGCTGGCCATTTTCAATTTCCTTAAACGTGCAATTTTCAACTGGGTCCTCCAACTGCTCAACGGGAGCCTTTCCAACGCCACGCTTCTGCGCTTCGCGGCCATGGTCCCAGCGGGGGCCATCGCGGATGCCGTGGGCTCCACGGTGCGCGTGCCCTTTGCGGCTCGGCGGAAGGGGGAGGCTGCCAGACGCCGTTTTACAAAAACTGAGATGGGTTTAGTTTGCTTTGTCCGTTTTCTTTTGACGTGTCAAACATCCCGGCCCGGGAACGTCAAGCAAATACAAACCCAGATAGATTGAAGAATCATTGACCCCTTTTCAACCAACGTAGGATAATGCCGGCAACACATGTCAGTCCCATGGAGTGTTTGGGGTTGACTGTTGTTCTAAAGCCCCAGACTGGATGGGGCTGAGGGGGTGAGATTCATCAACAGTCGACATTTTAATCATTAGACATTTTCTTTTTCAGTTTTTCGCATGCCAGAGAATTACAAGGGAGGGAGAGAGGGAGAGAGAGAGAGAGTGCAAGTATACAAGGTGGGGTGTGAAGCCACTCTTGGATGGACACGGACCGTATGGTGTCAAACATCCGTTCAGCATCTCCTCCTCCAATCCCATGCAGTTCCAACATCTTGCTTGAACCAACCCAACAGCAGCTGCAAGCCACAAGGCAACATCCAGTCACTGAGGGATATAGACCATATTCTTTGAACCCTGTGGGGAGTCCCGGCAAGCAGGTCTGGGATGGGCGGTGGGTGGTCTGAGGAGCTCATGAACAAGCAGGTGCAGTCTGGCCGGGCGCAGAACTTCTCGGAAGCCTTTGACGCCCGGAGAGGGACGTGGTCCGACGGGTTTTCAGGTGGCAGGAGGAGAGGAGGAGGTCCAAACCAATCAAAAAAGTGTTCTGAGACATTTTTAAAGGATTGTTTCTTGTAGTGATTATATATATAATATGGGGGTTCCCTAGACTCTAATTACAGATCCTTCATCATTTGGGCAATGCTTTGTGGACATGATGGAAGATCAACTCACCAACTGCTAGGGATCACAGATGGGAAGATCATTGAGGTTCCACTCCAGTGATCTGGGTAAACGCAGACTGAAAACACAAGTGTCTCCTGCTCCCCGGTCCCCCCACACGAGTGGCACCATTCTTTGGCCTTCTTTGGCCACTTTCGCTCGATAGCTTGCTTCTTTTTTGTTTCACGAAATGAGTGGTGTACCCCGAGATCACAACCTTGTGCTTTTTCCTGACGGAGTCCTTAGTCGCAGGAACATGCATTTCTCCCCGTCCCCGCATATGCGGGTTCAGCAGCTTCAGCAGCTTCTCATCAGGCCCCGCAACGCGGTGGGCCGGCGTTTGGGCGACTTCGTCGGTGGACTCGGTGGGACTCGGTGCACTTGGTGGCGACCGAGGAGGTGGTCTTTTCAAGACCTGGCGCCTCGCAGTTTTACTTCGCCTCTTGGTGCCTCGGAGACGGAGAGTGGACGGGGAGCGTGACGCGAGGGGACGGAGAGTGGGGGAGAGGGGGTTGAAAGAGGGAAGAAGGAGGTACGCCTCGGAGAGTGGAAGCTTCTGGATTCCAAGAAAATAGAATGTGAAGATTCCACAGCTCTTATAGGAAAGCTTCTTCTGGACCAGATTCTTCATGATTCTTGTATAATTACAAGAGATTTTGTTCTTTGCTCAAATCAGTAGGACACACATCAATTGCAAGGTGTCCTTTTCATGTTCGAGCATTCGAACTATGTTTTGCGGACACTCGGCAGACCTGGGAAGCATCGAAGTCTGAGGTTTTCACCGATGGGACCAACGTCTCCAATACAATACAGTGGTTACGCAATGCTGAAATCCAGATTGAACATTGTGGTGGTCACTCACTAGAAAGGCCTTTCAGAAAGGAAGCGCCAGGTCCTTGTCCTTATTCTTTAAAGTGCGAATCATGGGGTTGTTTCATGTCTCTTTCAACTTTGCCCAGCAAAGAACCACATTCTTTAATCAATGCACTGAACAATTCCTTTGTTTGGTTGTTTTCTCTATCATTCTTCCATCATGGAAGTAGGCAGCGGCGTAGGCAGCCCACGCCAGGTGTCGGTTTTCGTGTTCCAACCACTGAGGGCTGCGATCCTGGTGCGGGATGTGCCCTACGGCACTCTGCAGCTGGTCTTTTTCGAATTCTTTAAGGTGCGGTGTACCGCGAAACTGCTGCACTGGTGCAGTGCTTCGCTGGGGGAGATGTTTATTTTGTGTGTGGGGGGGGGGGGCGAACATTTTTGTGTAGACGCATGTTTGTTCCTTCTTCTTCTCCTCCTCCTCCTACTACCTACTACTGCTACTACTACTACTTCTTCTACTACTACTTCTACTTCTGCTTCTTCATCTTTTTTTCGCCGTCCTTCGCTGCAGGAGTTCACTCCGGCGTACCTGGAGCCCTTGGGTTTCAGTTTGTTCGCGCAGCGCTTGGTCTGGGGCTTCTTGGCCGGGCTCTTTGCGGGTGCCCTCACGGTCCCCGTGGACAACGTCTCCACGGTGGTGATGACGGAAGTGGAGGGCGCCAAGGATGTGGTGCTTTCGGAGCTTGTCGCGTAGTGTCTGTGTTGTTGGTGTTTGGTTTTTGTATGTTTTGGTGGGTATATAGACCTGCAGGTGATTCGTTCCCGAGTTTGACCAATCTGTGACCATTTGCGATTTTGCACAGTTCCCTAGCCGAAGTTGTTGGCGCTGGTTTTGTAGCAGGAGGACAGCAGTGTTCTTGACCTCGTCAAGGGCGCGGCCTCAAAGATTTGGACCACCAAGGGCTTTGAAGGCTTCTTTGTTGGTGGACTTGAGCGTGCTGGCTACTATGCACCTGTTGCATGTCTATTCTTCGCCTTGTATGATACCTTGGTGAACCTCTTTTGATCCGCAGAATTCTTGCTGTGAGAGTTCTCTTCGGCCGACCAGATGATCTGGATGGAACTTTCGGCAACGCTTCCCATGCTCCCAAGCGACGCGGCCCCGGCTTCTGACCCGGCAGCCTACCTATGAAAACATCTTACGTAGGTCGAATGTAGAGTAGTCTTCGATGAAGAGAAAGGGCGACTTGCAACCTTTTTGTTGCTCCAGTTGAGATTCTGTGTTGTATGGCGTCCTTTTTTGAAGCACATGAAATCAATCAACGAATGCAGCAGGGCTGATTTGGGTCCTTTGAGAAGCCAAGAGCTGCCTGGAAGCACTGCCCCAGAAACTCTTTCAATGCCGAATGCGTTATTGACGCCTGGCTGAAAGGGGATAATTCGCGGTAAAGGCATTGTCTGGGTCTTGAAAACCTCTTGATGAAGGCGAGGATCGGGGGAGGACTAGCTTCTTGCCCTTATATATATATACCTAGATATTGTGCTGAACATATTTTTGGCACTGACACAGATGCCGACAAATACTGTACATACAAATACATGAGAACACTCATAGTCGTGATTCAGTCTTTCATCAAGTGGTCTTACTGATTGTGTCCCAATCTTCGAGTGTGCAGTGGGCAAAGACCGCAGTGAAAGTGGGGGCTGGAGGAGGAGTTTTGGCAAAGTGAGCTTTGTTTACAGTGGTTTCAGAGTAGATGGCACAAACCATCTCAAACCCAAAGATGTCCTTTTGATGGGGATCCACATAAACCACCTTTTGGGGATGGCGCCATCTACTCAAACCACTGCTTCATTCTTAGCAGGGCAACCGAAACCACGACCTTGGGGAGCCCGAAAAAGGCGACCTTCAACTGGTCAGACAGGACCGGATGGGATGTGAATCTGAGGACATTGGGACCCCCATGGACCCTCCCTGAGTCTGAAGGTGTGCATTGGGGTTTATCGGGTATACGATGGTAGAAGGCGTTCTTTTTGTTTTTTTGGTCGTGTGTGTATGTGTGGAGCCGGTTGGATTTACGTGCATGCAACGCCCCCCCCAAACCACCAAGTGTGTGTGTGTGGTATAGTGGTGACACCATGTTACACCAGTCTAGATTGCCTTTGTTGATTCAATGAGAAGTTGTATGAAAAAACGTGTCCGCCGCATCGTTCTTCTCAGTTGCAGATCCACCAGGGGCGAGTCGAGGGATCACTTCTCAGCACGTTCCAGCTCTTGGTGTTTCTTCAATCTTTGCCCCATCTGCTACGTTCCAGCATTCCGGCTATGGTGATGTGCTGTCCCGCTGTCATTCATGGATGTCAGGTCCATGCATCAAATCGAGCATCCCTCGAAAACACTCCTCCCGGGCCAGGCAAGCCGAAGGCTGCCTGCCTACGTTGGGACGCCCAGGGCAGGGTGGTTCTCGGAGGCGTCTCGGAGGCCTCTCAATCTGGTCGGGAGAGCGGTGTTCGTCAACTGTCCCAACCTTTGGAAAGGTTGTCAGGGTACAAAATACCGATAGTGGTTTTTGTTGGAAAGCTGTGTTTGTTTCTTGCATTGGTTTCGACTATAAAAGTGTAGCCTTTGAGCAGACATCAGACAGCCTTTGTTCGTGATAGTCAGTTGCTAGGGGGTGGCGTAGCTGGGTCCTTTACACCGCTTGTTGGTGGCGGGCTCTCCGAAAAAGTGCAGAACACTTGGAGATCCATAGCCCGTCGTTGGACCCAATTTGCCTTGGACATGTTTGAAAGACCCTCATCCAGTTCAGTCCCTTGCAAATGAACGGCGGTTTTTACAGCTAGCTGAGAGAGGACCAGTCACAGAGAAGTCACTCATCCGATGAATCTGGGGGACCCTGGATCCGCAGGAGAGAGCTCTTTCAGCCCCTCCTCTGACCCTCAGCCCCTTTTGGATCCGCCCCGCGCGGAGCGGCTCGTCCCAGGAATAGCCCATGGTGCCATGGCGGCCAACAAAAAGAAGGAGACGGCGGCGGGAACGGGGGTTTGTTCGGGGGGGACTCGGCCGGGGGGGGGGGGGGGGAAAGGGGGGAGGAACGAGTGAGGCGTTTGCAGGTCCGGGTGTTGGTGGGAATGAAGTGATGAAGGAGGTCGGGTTAGCAGTGCTTTGACTGCCTGGCTCCAGGGGATGGGGGTGTGTGGTGACTGATGACTCGATGACAAGTTGACCCCAAGAACGTTCTTGGAGAAAGAGTGGATGGAAGGCATGACGTTTTTCTGAAGCCTTTGGATTCCTCTGGAATGTCGACAGCCTTTTCGGAAGATTTGACCCATCGGTGAATACTTTGTGCCACTAACGCCACGCCACGAGCGATAGAATCTGTGAACCTGCAGGCTAATGTTTGGTGAAGTGATAGGACAAGTTTTGTAGATCACTTCACCAAACACCTGTCCTATCACCAAACAGGTTGCTATTGGTTTGTTTCAACCTGTTTCAACCTCAATGTCCATCAGCACCTTGTCTTCCGCGGCTTTAGACTCTGCTGCGAACCTCGTCTTCCGCGGGCCAGGCCAAAGCGGTGGGCGTACAAGACTCAGTGGGCAACTGCGAAGCCCTCCAATGGAAAGAGTCGCAGAAGGGGAAGAGATGGGATGATGGGAAGATGAGATGTGTTGGCTTCCTGAGAACTTATTTACAGGTTTTCAGGAGACCATACAGTGTGTTGGCTTCCTGTCAGGGGACCACGGTACCATACATGTTGCCATGTTTCATGGTGCTTTCATGTTGCAATTGGGAGTCCTGGACAGTTTATGAGGTATAAGTATAAGGTACACTCATGTAAACTCCATTCGAGCCGGTGGAGCCCTTTGTTCAATTCTCGATTCCGATGGGATCTGACTTATGCACATCTTGTGAGCACGACATCGAGGTGCGGCACATCCCAGGTTTCGTTCGAACTCTTCAACTGCATGGAAACTCTAGGGTGTGAACCTCTCCTCCACCTCATTTGGGCATATAATATGCTTTCTTTTGGACCAGCTCAGACTGCAGGCTTTAGCCGCCTACATTGACATTAGCGACGACTACGTCACCGAGGAGAAGGTGTCGCTGTCAGCGAAACGATCCGCCCTGCAGACCTCTGGGGACGTTGGTTGTCCGGCCGCGAGCGAGAACTTGACCAACAGAGCATCGGTGACTGCCCAACGTTCTGACCAAGGTGATTCTCCCTATAGGGTAAAACCATGTCAATGTCAACCCTCAGCGCCTGTGTATAGTGCTTGGGGGGTTCAAATCAAGAGTCTACGTTGGCTGATTTTCAGGTTTGAAGGTTAGTAGTTGTCACCCCTTGTCACCGGAGTCTATGCCTGGAGACATCTCATCTGGTCTTCCCGTCGTTTCCTTTGGTCGACCGAAGAACACGGAGAACAACAAAGCTGTTCGGTTTGAAACCCTGAAGGGTTTCAAGGGGTTGGATTGTTTCTATGATCTTCCAAGTATCTTCCCATCCTTTGGGACTTCAAGAGATGGTTCCTTCCACAAAGGCGTGCGAACCGCACGGCGTGGCACGTCAGGCGGCCACGAAGAAGCTGAAGACGGCCGATGGGAGCGGCGCCCGAGAAACCCACCGCGCCCATCGAAGCCGCGCGGAACATGGGTTTTGTTGGAGCTTGGAGGTAAAGATGAGGGTTTCCAAGCTTTTCAGTTCTTTTTGGGATCAGTGGGATTTGTTGTTTTGGTGTTTTACCTTGTTTTGAGGTTTTCTTCATTGATAATGACGGTAATAATTTTGAGTATATTGCGTGACCATTACTTCTTCTTCTTCTTCTTCTGATTCTGCTGCTTCTTCCACTTCTGAGTTCTGGTTACTTGGCCTCGTTCTTCAGTTCTTCTGGTTGAGATTCAGCTTCTGGTTCAGTTGATGTTGTCCTTTCTGCCTAATTGACTACTTTCCAGTCGTACAAGTACTGTGCTTCAATGACTCGCATGGCTGGCCTCAGGAGATGCATGCCTTCGGCGAAGCCGCCCTCGAGGACTGGCGACCGCCGAAGCTGTGGGGCTGGGGTGCTAGAATTTGGAGACATTTCAATATAGAAGCAAGATGAGTTTCAAACCGCCATATATACTGCATGTATCTGCATGGGCAGAATGATACTTTGGACGATTTGTGAGTGCCCGCAAGCGGTTGTACTCGTATGAAGCAAAACGACCTCTGAGGAACTAGAGGAAGTGTTTTGCAGTTTGCGTGATTTTGTGTTTGTTTTTCTATTATAGGAAATTTATGGAGTCGCGGTCATAATCTTGTTACACAAACCTTCAAGTGGGAATCAAAACCCTGCAGCCCAAGCATTTTTTCAGTGTGTGTCACCAGTCTAAGCCATGTTGCCTGGTTCTTCCCGCTTCACGCGAACGCGTCCGCCACGTCTTCGTCCCGCGAGTCGGACGTCGTCAAGCTCCGCTCACGCGCACCCGGTCCGAGCCGAAGCGGCCAGGATTCGCATCGCTCACATCCTTTTGAAATGCCGGGGCGCCGATCCGAAGGGTGGTGGAAGGCCGATCCCAGGGGAGGTTGGTGCTTCTGTCTGAGTTGGTGACGTAAAAAAGGTGAGGAACAGCCACGACCGGGGATCGAACGGAAAGAGAGACCAGTTCATTTAAGACTTGCTTAAAGATACATGCATGTACTTCAGCCGAGGTGTGATTCTCTTCATCAAATGGTACGGTACTGTAACTTAATATATGTTCCACATTTTTGGGCGGGTTGTGAGATTGTCATTCAACATCAGGTTGTCATTCAACATCAGGTTGTGCTTCCTTTGATCCAGGGACATGGCACAACCTTGTTAGCCACTCTATTTTGGTGCCCTTCTTGATCGCGAGACAAAGAGGCATCATCCCAAACTTTGGACCTTAGGGACCTTGGGTTTCCTTCCATTCAGCAAATCCCATCGAATCGCTCCTACCTCATTTCTTCCAGAAAACAACGAAGAACAAACATGATCGGGAAAACGCTCCACCCTTTCTTTCATGAATGAGAACTGAAAACACTTTCCAGAGACCTTCCCTTTCCAGAGGGCTCCTCCATCCGCTTCACCGAGGTCAGCCTGCCACGGGTGTGGCGCCCTCCGATCCGCAGGCGACACGGCTCACGCGGTAAGATAGATGAACCATGATGAACCATAAGTAAA